ACACAGGGACACAGGTAATTATATAATTTACCCAAGACACAGGGACACAGGTAATTATATAATTTACCCAAGACACAGGGACACAGGTAATTAAATCACTGTGAGGAATAAAATCTTTTACAATACTCTGTTATTGGATACCACTGAAAAACAAGGATTTGCATATTTTTTATCACTGGGCAGCAATTTTTAGGAAGTGAAACAGAAAATGTTCAAAAAAAAAAAAAAAAAAATGCATATATCAAGATAATAACCATGACAGCCACTGGTCTAAAAAAGAGAGTTTAAATATACAATGAAATTAAAATCATTTCATTAACATTAATAATTCTTCTCATCATCAATAAAAGTTGGATGTCAAAACACAAGCATACCAAGATATAAAATTATCATGATCATTCATGATCAGCATAAAAACAAGCAAAAGGCATAAACGATCCATATCATCATATACAACTGAATGCCCAATGCTTTTAGCAAACATTTTTTATTATCAACCTTTGACCTTCAAAGTATGTCATGGTTAAAAATTTTGAAAAATAACAACTGCACTACAGAAAAAAATATTGCTAATGTTAGCAGATAACAGATCATTGCAGAAAGTGTCATTTTTTCCACTATGGTAAAGATCTTCACTTGAAGGAACTTCATCATGTATACTCTAAGCTTAGGGCCTGTGACAGAATACACCAGTCAAAGTATGCAATCATACCAGCAACTGCAAATAACTACACACCTCAGCATTGGAAGTTGTAAGAAGATTTAGGAGTTATGACACCTGTAATGAAGCCACTCCAGTCACTCAGTCTAATACACATACACTACTTTATAAATTGACTAGGTCAGGAGATGATCAAGCAAACAGAGCTCAATTTTGTTTACAATGAGACATCTTAACAAACAATGTATTTTTACAATTAGACATCATCTTTAAAACATAATAATGTTTATATTTAAAATGAGATACTGTACCACTTGAGAGACTGTACCACGTGAGAGACTGTACCACGTGAGATGCTGTACCACTTGAGATACTGTACCACGTGAGAGACTGTACCACTTGAGATACTGTACCACGTGAGAGACTATACCACTTGAGATACTGTACCACGTGAGAGACTGTACCATGTGAGATACTGTACCACCACATGAGAGACTGTACCACGTGAGATACTGTACCACGTGAGAGACTGTACCACTTGAGATACTGTACCACGTGAGAGACTGTACCACTTGAGATACTGTACCACGTGAGATACTGTACCATGTGAGATACTGTACCACCACTTGAGAGACTGTACCACCACATGAGAGACTGTACCACGTGAGATACTGTACCACTTGAGATACTGTACCACTTGAGAGACTCTACCATGTGAGATACTGTACCACGTGAGAGACTGTGCCACTTGAGATACTGTACCACTTGAGATACTGTACCACGTGAGATACTGTAACAAGTGAGAGACTCTACCACGTGAGAGACTCTACCATGTGAGATACTGTACCACGTGAGAGACTGTGCCACTTGAGATACTGTACCACTTGAGATACTGTACCACGTGAGATACTGTAACAAGTGAGAGACTGTACCACGTGAGAGACTGTACCATGTGAGAGACTGCACCACGTGAGATACTGTACCACGTGAGAGACTGTACCACTTGAGATACTGTACCACGTGAGATACTGTACCACATGAGAGACTGTACCACGTGAGAGACTGTACCACTTGAGATACTGTACCACTTGAGAAACTACCATTATTGAGAGACTGAACAATTTTTAACAGTAATTTACAGTTGAGTTATATCATTGTTAATAAACAATATTATATCTTTTCTAATTCAATATTCTGAATGAGGAACATTTTATCACATTGATAATGTAATTACATCTAATACATCCATGATGTTATAACTATGTGTAATAACATGTCTAGAAAAGCTAGGTTTGGCTAAAGGTTCCCTTAGTCTCTTTTGTGACGTCATAACTTCACGGTGTCAAAAGCATTTCAACATTATCAAAGAAAGAAATTTATAGTTAGAATATTGCCAATTTAGATCACACATCAGCTCGATAAAATGCTACTTTCACAAATAGCTGTCAAATTATCATATGTTTACCATTTGATGTTGATAAACAATCATGTTTACAGATATTGTCTCTGATAAACATTATGAATACAGTAAGATATTATACTTACTGAAGATTATCATAATTATGTATGTTACCAAGTAATTTCAGGTGAGTAAGATAAACATGTTCCACATCACATGCAAATTTACTACATGATTTGTATATAATTTGATACAATTGTTCACATGCTTCATGATTATGCAATATCATTTATCCAGTAAATCCAGATCTTTAAAGACATTAAGACTCCCCCCCACCCCTTCCACCAAAAAAAAACAAAACAAAATAGTAACACAACAGATCTCCATTACTCCACTGGATATAGCAATCATGGAAAACTATAACTATATTGATCATAAGAATTATGAAAAAGGAACATTAAAAGGGGTTGGGGAGGGGTGTGTGAAAAAGGAACATTAAAAAGGGGCGGGAAGGGGTGTGTGGAAAAGGAACATTAAAAAGAGGTGGGAAGGGGTGTGTGGAAAAGGAACATTAAAAAGAGGTGGGAAGGGGTGTGTGGAAAAGGAACATTAAAAAGGGGCGGGGAGGAGTGTGTGTAAAAAAGGAATATTAAAAAGGGGCAGGGAGGGGTGTGTGTGAAAGGAACATTAAAAAGGGGCGGGGAGGGGTGTGTGGTAAAGGAACATTAAAAAGGGGCGGGGAGGAGTGTGTGTAAAAAAGGAACATTAAAAAGGGGCAGGGAGGGGTGTGTGTGAAAGGAACATTAAAAAGGGGCGGGGAGGGGTGTGTGTAAAAGGAACATTAAAAAGGGGCGGGGAGGGGTGTGTGTGTTTCCCTTCGGCTAATTCATTTTGCATGTCCATGTTATAAGGTGCTGATCTCCAATGTTTTTCAAGTTTTAATTCAAGGAATAAGACCCCATGGGTTTGTAAGATCCTGGGAACAGTAGCATGAACTGGTTGTGTAAAACCCAGCAATTATATACAGAGATAGGAAAAGGTGAATTGATCATGTCAAACCCAGCAATTATATATACAGATAGGAAAAGATGAATTGATCATGTCAAACCCAGCAATTATATATACAGATAGGAAAAGGCATCAAATTTATTTTCTATGATTCTGTAAATAAGTTGTATGAAGTGGGTAGTCAATCCCAGTAACATAGTTAACATTTCAAGTGTGGTAATTGTACATACGTTTAGTTATAAAGATCAAGAGAGGCCATTCACTGGGGTGAGCAAATACATACATAGTCACAACAATCCAAGGGAGAAAGTTAAGACGTTTGGCTAAATTAGTCCTCCTTTCATAAGGAGGACTTTACATAATCTCAATTGAACAGGATCAATATTCCTCAAACAAATTTAATAATGCAACATATTCAGATAATACCTATTTGGTCATTTCTCTAGGCGACTTGAGTTATTTCTGGGAGTTCTCCTTTATAGAATTATTGACACCATTATCAGTATATATACTCACTGGTTCAATACATTAAAAAAAAGAAACAATAAATAAACAGATTGTAAGGAAGCAAAACAAATTCTGAATGCTGCTAAGTCAGTGAGGTAAAAACATGTAACCCTGTTGTTCTAAAATACATAAATTATATATCTACAGCAAGTGTACATAGCTTACATAGAAATCAGGAGTTGGCTTATTGAAAATAGTAACTACAGATTACAGATTAAATGGAATTTGGCTTCATGGTCACTAAAAAGATGACTTTCATATTAAATTGCACACTAATATATACAATGAATAAGTATAATAATCTGTTGTTTGTATAACATTATGGACTAGCCACTCTCAGTGGACACTAAGGACTAGCCACTCTATGTGAACACTAAGGACTAGCCACTCTCTATGAACACTAAGGACTAGCCACTCTCAGTGGACACTAAGGCCTAGCCACTCTCAGTGGACACTAAGGACTAGTCACTCTCAGTGAACACTAAGGACTAGCCACTCTCTATGAACACTAAAGACTAGCCACACTCTATGAACACTAAGGCCTAGCCACTCTCAGTATACACTAAGGACTAGCCACTCTCAGTGGACACTAAGGACTAGCCACTCTCAGTGGACACTAAGGTCTAGCCACTCTCAGTGGACACTAAGGACTAGCCACTCTCAGTGGACACTAAGGACTAGCTACTCTCTGTGAACACTAAGGACTAACCACTCTCAGTGGACACTAAGGACTAGACACTCTCAGTGGATACTAAGGACTAGTCACTCTCAGTGAACACTAAGGACTAGCCACTCTCAGTGGACACTAAGGCCTAGCCACTCTCAGTGGACACTAAGGACTAGTCACTCTCAGTGGACACTAAGGACTAGCCACTCTCAGTGGACACTAAGGACTAGCCACCCTCAGTGAACATTAAGGCCTAGCCACTCTCAGTGGACACTAAGGACTAGCCACTCTCAGTGGACATTAAGGACTAGCTACTCTCTGTGAACACTAAGGACTAGCCACTCTCAGTGGACACTAAGGACTAGCCACTCTCAGTGGATACTAAGAACTAGTCACTCTCAGTGCACACTAAGGACTAGCCACTCTCAGTGGACACTAAGGCCTAGCCACTCTCAGTGGACACTAAGGACTAGTCACTCTCAGTGGACACTAAGGACTAGTCACTCTCAGTGGACACTAAGGACTAGCCACTCTCTCTTTCTTTCTCTCCATTTATGATGTCGGATGTAGATGCCATCAAGTTCTGTCACTTACATCAACCAGGAGGCAGGATCAGCCATATCAGGATGATCTGCTCAACATCACATGACCATAGGGCTGGTTGTCACATGATAAACCTACTCAGCATCACATGACCACATAGCTAGATATCAAATGACCACACATTTCAGCATCACATAACCACATGGCTAGCTATCATGTGATCATACTTCCCAGATCGTATGACCACACAGCTGAATATCCTATGTCAGCAACCCTCCTGGCTGTATGACAATTCACAATATCTCAAGAGTCAGATTATCAAACACAGCCAGTAAGGAAAGACCAGATTAACAGGGCATAGATTTGTCTTATCTAAACAAGCGAGCAAATTCCCTCAGTCCGTTGGACACCTGCTTCACATTTTCAGCGCTGGAAGAAAAAAAAAATTATTATATATTGAATAAATTAAATCCAGGGGTAGAGCCAACGCCGTAAACTCTTATTGAGGTTCCGTTGGTTCTTTATATCCCTTGCCCAGATACCACTCGGTATGCAGGAAGGTCCTGAAGAAGCCCACTGTTCGGGCGAAAGCGGTAGACGTTTCATACTAATAAAAACTCAACTTATTCCGAACCTGTTGCGATTGACTTATGTACTTAGTTTTCTCTATTCTTCAAGGTCCTGAAGAAGCCCACTGTTCGGGCGAAAGCGGTAGACGTTTCACACTAATAAAAAATCAACTTATCCCGAACCTGTTGCGATTGACTTATATACTTTGTATAAATTAAGGAACAATACAGGAGTGTTGAGCAAACAGACTTAATGAGGAATGATAATTGAAACCAGAAACAATCTAGACTGCAAAGAAGATGTTAAAGTTGACAATTCCATGGAAATCTGTGAGTGGCTCATGAGTTTGAGACACCATATAGTATTAACTTTTTACCTGGTCACAGCTTTGTGGAAATCTGTGAGCTGCTTGTGAGTTGCTGTCACTGCACCTCCACTACTCTCAGTCTGAAGTGACTTTAACATGACTTCAAGCCATTTACAGAAAACCTAATAAGAAACATTAGATATTAGTTATAAATACAGCATCAAAACATAAAAGGTTAATTATTAGAATAATCAATCATTTACACATCAATCTATTCACTAACAATGAAATACACACTGAAGCACACTGATTCATTCAAGGTCAGCAAACCTTTTGACCCCACTCCATCCTTCTAAGGTAAGATCCTACTTTGGTCCTATTCCATCTTCCCAAGGCAGCCACACCCTTTGGTCCTATTCCATCTTCCCAAGGAAGCCACACCCTTTGGTCCTATTCCATCTTCCCTAGGCAGCCTCACCCTTTGGTCCTATTCAATCTTCCCTAGGCAGCCACACCCTTTGGTCCTATTCCATCTTCCCTAGGAAGCCACACCCTTTGGTCCTATTCCATCTTCCCTAGGCAGCCACACCCTTTGGTCCTATTCCATCTTCCCTAGGCAGCCTCACCCTTTGGTCCTATTCCATCTTCCCTAGGCAGCCACACCCTTTGGTCCTATTCCATCTTCCCAAGGCAGCCACACCCTTTGGTCCTATTTCATCTTCCCTAGGCAGCCACACCCTTTAGTCCTATTCCATCTTCCCTAGGAAGCCACACCCTTTGGTCCTATTCCATCTTCTTAAAGCAGCCACACCCTTTGGTCCTATTCCATCTTCCCAAGGCAGCCACACCCTTTGGTCCTATTCATCTTCCCAAGGCAGCCACACCCTTTGGTCCTATTCCATCTTCCCAAGGAAGCCACACCCTTTGGTCCTATTCCATCTTCCCTAGGCAGCCAAACCCTTTGGTCCTATTCCATCTTCCCTAGGAAGCCACACCCTTTGGTCATATTCCATCTTCCCTAGGCAGCCACACCCTTTGGTCCTATTCCATCTTCCCTAGGCAGCCACACCCTTTGGTCCTATTCCATCTTCCCAAGGAAGCCACACCCTTTGGTCCTATTCCATCTTCCCTAGGCAGCCACACCCTTTGGTCCTATTTCATCTTCCCTCGGCAGCCACACCCTTTGGTCCTATTCCATCTTCCCATGGCAACCACCTTTAGTCCTATTCCATCTTCCCATGGCAGCCACACCCTTTGGTCCCATCCCTTCTCTCCAAGGTAAGCCACATCCTTTTGTCCAAACCAATCTTCCCAAGGAAAGTCACATCCTTTGGTTCCACTCCATCCTTCTTAGGTAAGCAATATCATTTGGTCCCTTCCCCTCTTCCCAAGATAGCCACACCCTTTGGTCTCAACCCAATTTCCCACATTAAGCTACATCCTTTTGTCCCATTCCATCCTTCTTAGGTAAGTCATATCCTTTGGTCCTTTCCCATCTTCCTAAGGTAAGCCACATCCTTTGGTCCCCATTCCCAATCTTTCCAAGGTATATGACTAACCATTGACCACACTCCATCCTTCTTATGTAAACCACACTCTCTGGCTCTATCTGATCCTCTTAAATTGAGCCATACTCTTTTAGATTTACTACATCTACTTCTTCTATTCAGCAAAAATGCTGCTCTACTTTCCAAGAAAGTTTAGTATCTTTAACTTAACCCTTTTCACCTCTCATAATTAATAGCATTTTTAAGGAACATTTGATAACAGGTACTTGCTAAAATTTGTGAATTTCAAAGCTCACTACCAATAAGCCAAATAAATACATACCAGCCTGTCGATGACCATGAGCTCATAGATGACCTCTCCAATATCAACAGTCATGAATGTGGGCAGTGAGAATATACAGCCATTGACTAGAGCATTTACCAAAGCTTGTCCATGTTCAGTGAGCAGTGCTTTAACCACTGTCTGTCTCACTGCAAAGTCTTCTTTGTCCTGTAATAAATATATTATATACTCTTCTACATTGTGGATAGTAGAATTATTGTTTGCCCTGTAGAAACAATATAACATACTCTTTAACACCATGAGAAGTAAAAGTATCTGTTTGTCTTGTTGAAAGAATATTACATGCTCTTCAACACTGTGAGAAGTAAAATTATCTGTTTGTTTTGTTGTTTTGTTGAAAGAATATGGCTCTTCTACACTGTGAACAGTAAAATTACCGTTTTTTGAAAGATTATGTGACTACCATGAACTCTAAGGATACAAACCTCTTTGCGAGTGGCACAACCAAGGAAATCTGTGAGATATTTCATGACAGAGGCATTTGCATCACGATGGCTACCACAGACAGAAAGGTTAATGTAACCCACAGTAAAAACCTACCACAGATAGAAAGGTTAATGTAACCCACAGTAAAAACCTACCACAGACAGAAAGGTTAATGTAACCCACAGTAAAAACCTACCACAGACAGAAAGGTTAATGTAACCCACAGTAAAAACCTACCACAGACAGAAAGGTTAATGTAACCCACAGTAAAAACCTACCACAGACAGAAAGGTTAATGTAACCCACAGTAAAAACCTACCACAGACAGAAAGGTTAATGTAACCCACAGTAAAAACCTACCACAGACAGAAAGGTTAATGTAACCCACAGTAAAAACCTACCACAGACAGAAAGGTTAATGTAACCCACAGTAAAAACCTACCACAGACAGAAAGGTTAATGTAACCCACAGTAAAAACCTACCACAGACAGAAAGGTTAATGTAACCCACAGGAAAAACCTACCACAGACAGAAAGGTTAATGTAACCCACAGGAAAAACCTACCAAAGACAGAAAGGTTAATGTAACCCACAGTAAAAACCTACCACAGACAGAAAGGTTAATGTAACCCACAGTAAAAACCTACCACAGACAGAAAGGTTAATGTAACCCACAGTAAAAACCTACCACAGACAGAAAGGTTAATGTAACCCACAGTAAAAACCTACCAAAGACAGAAAGGTTAATGTAACCCACAGGAAAAACCTACCACAGACAGAAAGGTTAATGTAACCCACAGTAAAAACCTACCACAGACAGAAAGGTTAATGTAACCCACAGTAAAAACCTACCACAGACAGAAAGGTTAATGTAACCCACAGTAAAATCCTACCATAGATAGAAAGGTTAATGTAACCCATAGTAAAATCCTACCATAGATAGAAAGGTTAATATAACCCACAGTAAAAACCTACCACAGACAGAAAGGTTAATGTAACCCACAGTAAAAACCTACCACAGACAGAAAGGTTAATGTAACCCACAGTAAAAACCTACCACAGACAGAAAGGTTAATGTAACCCACAGTAAAAACCTACCACAGACAGAAAGGTTAATGTAACCCACAGTAAAAACCTACCACAGACAGAAAGGTTAATGTAACCTACAGTAAAAACCTACCACAGACAGAAAGGTTAATGTAACCCACAGTAAAAACCTACCACAGACAGAAAGGTTAATGTAACCCACAGTAAAAACCTACCACAGACAGAAAGGTTAATGTAACCCACAGTAAAAACCTACCACAGACAGAAAGGTTAATGTAACCCACAGTAAAAACCTACCAAAGACAGAAAGGTTAATGTAACAGAAAGGTTAATGTAACCCACAGTAAAAACCTACCACAGACAGAAAGGTTAATGTAACCCACAGTAAAAACCTACCACAGACAGAAAGGTTAATGTAACCCACAGTAAAAACCTACCACAGATAGAAAGGTTAATGTAACCCACAGTAAAAACCTACCACAGACAGAAAGGTTAATGTAACCCACAGTAAAAACCTACCACAGACAGAAAGGTTAATGTAACCCACAGTAAAAACCTACCACAGACAGAAAGGTTAATGTAACCCACAGTAAAAACCTACCACAGACAGAAAGGTTAATGTAACCCACAGTAAAAACCTACCACAGACAGAAAGGTTAATGTAACCCACAGTAAAAACCTACCACAGACAGAAAGGTTAATGTAACCCACAGTAAAAACCTACCACAGACAGAAAGGTTAATGTAACCCACAGTAAAAACCTACCACAGACAGAAAGGTTAATGTAACCAAATGATGGCATCCTCCAGAAATGTTAATGTACTATTGGTATTGTTTATCTGCAATAAATGACTGCAGACTACAGAAAGGTTAATGTACTGTTCGTATGGTATCTTCAGTAAAGGATGGTAGACTTCAGAAAGGTTAATATACTGTTCGTATGATTCATCTGCTCTACAGGATGGCGTACTACAGAAAGGTTAATGTACTGTTGGTATGGTTCATCTTCAGTAAAAGATGGCAGACTACAGAAAGGTTAATGTACTGTTGGTATGGTTCACTACTCAATAAATGGGATGCAGACTACAAAAAGGTTAATGTACTGTTGGTATGATTCCCTCGGTAAACGATGACAGACTACAGACAGGTTAATGTACTGTTGGTATGGTTCATCTTAAGAAATTGAAGACAAACTAGGGAAATGTTAATGTACTGTTGGTATGATTCATCTGCTCTACAGGATGGCGTACTACAGAAAGGTTAATGTACTGTTGGTATGGTTCATCTGCAGTAAAAGATGGCAGACTACAGAAATGTTAATATACTGTTGGAATGGTTCATCTGCTCTAAAGGATTGCAGACTACAGATAGGTTAATGTACTGTTGGTATGGTTCATCTGCAGTAAAAGATGGCAGACTACAGAAATGTTAATATACTGTTGGTATGGTTCATCTGCAGTAAAGGATTGCAGACTACAGAAAGGTTAATGTACTGTTGGTATGGTTCATCTTAAGAAATTGAAGACAGACTACAGAAAGGTTAATGTACTGTTGGTATGGTTCATCTACAGTAATGGAAGACACACTACAGAAAAGTTAATGTATTGTTGGTATGATTCATCCGCTCTACAGGATGGCGTACTACAGAAAGGTTAATGTACTGTTGGTATGGTTCATCTTAAGAAATTGAAGACAAACTAGGGAAATGTTAATGTACTGTTGGTATGATTCATCCGCTCTACAGGATGGCGCACTACAGAAAGGTTAATGTACTGTTGGTATGGTTCATCTGTAGTAAATGATGGCAGACTACAGAAAGGTTAATATACTGTTGGAATGGTTCATCTGCAGTAAATGATTGCAGACTACAGAAAGGTTAATGTACTGTTTGTATGGTTCATCTGCAATAAATGATGGCAGACTACAGAAAGGTTAATGTAATGTTGGTATGGTTCCCTCAGTAAAGGATTGCAGACTACAGAAAGGTTAATGTACTGTTGGTATGGTTCATCTGCAATAAATGATGGCAGACTACAGAAAGGTTAATGTACTGTTGGTATGGTTCATCTGCAATAAATGATGGCAGACTACAGAAAGGTTAATATACTGTTGGAATGGTTCATCTGCTCTAAAGGATTGCAGACTACAGAAAGGTTAATGTACTGTTGGTATGGTTCATCTTCATCAATTGAAGGCAGACTACAGAAAGGTTAATGTACTGTTGGTATGGTTAATCTGCAATAAATGACAGCTGACTACAGAAAGGTTAATGTACTGTTGGTATGGTTCCCTCAGTATAGGATGACAGACTACAGAAATGTTAATGTACTGTTGGTATGGTTCAACTGCAGTAAAAGATGACAGACTACAGAAAGGTTAATGTACTATTGGTATGGTTCAATCAGTAAACGATGGCAGACTACAGAAAGGTTAATGTCCTTTTGGTATGATTCATCTCCAGTAATGCAAGGCAGACTATAGAAAGGTTTATATACTGTTGGTATGATTCATCTGCAGTAAAGGATGACAGACTACTGAAAGCTTAATGTACGGTTGGTTTGGTTTATCTGCAGTAAAGGATAGCATACTCCAGAAAAGTTAATATACTGTTGGATGGTTCATCTGCTGTAATGGAAGACAGACTAATGAAAGGTTAATATACCGTTGGTATGGTTTCCTCATTAAAGTATGTCAGACTACAGAAAGGTTAATGTACGGTTCGTATGGTTTATCTGCAGTAAACGATGGCATACTACAGAAAGGTTAATGTACTGTTGGTATGGTTCATCTGCATTAAAGTATGGCATATTTCAGAAAGGTTAATGTATTGTTGTTATGGTTCATCTGCATTAATGGAAGACAAACTACAGAAAGGTTAATGTACTGTTGGTATGGTCCATCTGCAGTACATGATGGCAGACTACAGAAATGTTGATATACTGTTGGAATGGTTCATCTGCTTTAAAGGATTGCAGACTACAGAAAGGTTAATGTACTGTTGGTATGGTTCATCTGCAGTAAAGGATTGCAGACTACAGAAAGGTTAATGTACTGTTTGTATGGTTCATCTGCAATAAATGATGGCAGACTACAGAAAGGTTAATGTACTGTTGGTATGGTTCATCTGCAATAAATGATGGCAGACTACAGAAAGGTTAATGTACTGTTGGTATGGTTCATCTGCAATAAATTATTGCATATTAAAGAAAGGTTAATGTGCTGTTGGTATGGTTCATCTACAGTAATGGAAGACACACTACAGAAAGGTTAATGTACTGTTGGTATGGTTCATCTGTACTAAATGATGGCAGACTACAGAAAGGTTCATGTACTGTTGGTATGATTTATCTGCTCTACAGGATGGCGTACTACAGAAAGGTTAATGTACTGTTGGTATGGTTCATCTGCAGTAATGGATAGCAGACTAAAGAAGGATTAATGTACTGTTGGTATGGTTTATCTGCAGTAAATGATGACAGACTACAGATAGGTTAAAGTACTGTTCGTATGGTTCATCTGCTCTAAAGGATTGCAGACTAGAGAAAGGTTAATGTACTGTTGGAATGGTTGATATGTATTAATAGATTGCAGACTACAGAAAGGTTAATGTACTGTTGGTATGGTTTATCTGCAGTAACGGATGACAGACTACAGAATGGTTAATGTACTGTTGGTATGGTTACCTCAATAAAGGATTGCAGACTACAGAATTGTTAATGTATTGTTGGTATGGTTCCCTCAGTAAAGGATGACAGACTACAGATAGGTTATAGTACTGTTCGTATGGTTCATCTGCTTTAAAGGATCGCAGACTACAGAAAGGTTAATGTACTGTTGGTATGGTTCCCTCAGTAAATTGATAGCATACTCCAGAAAGGTTAATGCACTGTTGGTATGGTTTATCTGCAATAAATCACGGCTGACTACAGAAAGTTTAATGTACTGTTGGTATGGTTTTCTCATTAAAGTATGGCTGACTATAGAAAGGTTAATGTGCTGATGGTATGGTTCATATGTAGTAATGGATTGCAGACTGCAGAAAGATTGATGTACCGTTGGTATGGTTCATCTGCAATAAATGATGGCATCCTCCAGAAATGTTAATGTACTATTGGTATTGTTTATCTGCAATAAATGACTGCAGA